ACAATCGACAGACAACAGAGGAGGCGCAGCAGCAACTTGCCAGCGGTCCCTCACTTCCGGTATTATTAGAATGGCGAGTTAGTTATTGGGAGATTAATGCATGCAGTTAAAGATCCAAATGCACACAGAAAGAGAGGACATACATGCAAACAGACTTACTATATGCTTTAACAACGAGGAAAGTAATATTTAGGGTAATATGTTGGTATCTTTTGGTTCTACTAGAATATGTTTACATGCCAGACTAGCTGGGTAAACAGTGCGTCCTAGCCATCATGGATTAAGGAGTTTGATGGCTTGTGTCACATTATGATGTTGCATTTCTTTCTAGTGTCTCCCAAATATTTTCTAAATAATTATGAAATTACAGACCATAGCAGATACAGTATTATGTCGAAACATAATAGCATGTACAAGTCCGTATTTTTATAGTTAATTAATATTTTTGCATCTATCGGTTAATATGAATTTAACCTTTGCTGTATCATGACAGCATTTTTTTGAATAAAATCCTTACACCTTATTGTGGATGGTCAACATTTTTCAAACCATAATGTTATGGGACAAGTTAACAGCAAAATTGAAGCTGTTGAAGGGTTGTGAACTTATAGAACTTATTCAATAATTGCTATATAAAAACAAATATTTGTAATCAGCTGGTTGACAAAACAATTTCATTTCAAGTTCCATTAAGTATCAAGCTACTACTTATATCCATGCCTGCAAACTTGTCCCCTTGCTGTTATGTCGCACAGTTTATTTATATAGAGTTAATTGAACAGTTTTCATTGTGATGTTGATGAATCATCTCACTTGGTCGGACTCAGTGAACCACAAAGCAAAAAGTAGCGCTTTTGAATCATAAATGCAAACCAGGCTTACTGTCCTTATGTCTTTATCTTTCTTCAGTTCCTTGGCGGTACCATGATTATAATCATTGGAGGCATCATCGTGGCCTCTGTCCTTGTCTTCATCTTCATCCTCCTAATGAAGTACAAGCTGCACAGTAACCACTACAAACAGAAAGCAACAGCACGACATGCCAACGTCTGCTCCCAGACCAACGGAGGGGGAGCTAACACACTCACTGTTCCTCCATTCTTCTCCTCTGCAGGGCAGGGTAAGTGGTGGAAAAGCAGGGAAATATATGTGACTTATTTTTGTTTCATCTGTTTCTAATAATTTGCCTCCACCTGGTTGTCTCCTAGGTGGAGGCGATGGTAAAAACTCCCAACCTTCATCATCAACTGAAGGGATGGGAGGAGTATCCATTCGAGGGACGACTGTAGTGGACTTAAATCCCACCCGTGACGAAGACGCCATCTCTCAATAACATATGAAATTGTTAATCAAACCTTCAACTCACCAATCATTAAGCCCAAACCAATACTCCAACTCCATCTCCCTCCCTCCCTTTTTTAAACTATTTGTTAATGGTGCCTGAAATCTAGTCTACTTCACGCTGAGGAGCAGCTCCTGTTTTTGGTAAGTAGCTGTGAAGCCAGTTTGTAAAAAGTCTGAATTCATTCTTTGTCAAATAACTGTAATAATGCTTGTATTATAAATTCAATTTGGATCAATTATTTTTTGTCATTTCTAATGTGAAGTCGGCGGAGAGTTTAAAAATGATGTGGAATTCCCGTGTTCCTGTCAAACCTGTTTTATTTAACTCTTCGAAAGGACTTTGAACAAGAATAAACGTTTTTTTTTCTTGCAGTGTGAACACACCATTAAACAGTTGACTTTTCTTCTTCTTTTAAAAAAAAATACTCTTTATATAATAGGATTATAATAATAATAATCCTCATTTACCTAATCACAATAATATAGATGGACCAGAAATGATAAATAAAATATATGTATACACATTTACATGCTCGATTATCAATCAATAGATACAAAACTATGAGGAATATTATTTTCAGTCCGATTTTCAGGGTAATCAGTCAACAGAAGCCTCAAGCGTCATCCATAGTTGATGTTACTTAGCTTTCCAGTCAATCATATGCAATATATTCAGTACCCAAATCTTTCTCCCATTTACGGGAAATATTCGGCAGTTCGTCCCAAGGAGTGAATAAAATGACGAGATAAAATGCTTAGAATTTTGGCGCTCCAAGATGAACTTCTCTGCTTCATTGCAAGGGAGGTTAACCTGTTAAACCCCAAGCCTATTTTTCAGGTCTCAGGCTCCAAAATGACATGCCCAGAACAAATGACTATATCTTCACTTCTAAAAGGGGTAAATTAATCATCTTTTTTCTCAAAGCAATGATACACCTGTGAGTTGGATGTAGAAAACTCAGAATCAATATAGATGTTTTATTTTAAAGTAAATTCAGATTGAACATAGTAAAAAAAAAAAAACTATAGTTTCCTTCCAAATAAAATCCATTTCTTCAAAGTGAAAACCACCCTTGAATGATAGGATAGTAGACAAAAAGCTTTAGGAATCCAAACTATAACATATAATAAGTACCCTGTATCAAGATTGATGCAAAACAAGTGAAACTTGACCTTTTTTAGAGAGGTTTAGAAAAAAAAATCCACCTCTGGGGTCATTTGGGTTTATTTGCCTTATCTCTGGAACCCATTGGTCGATTTTGGTGATTGACGCCTCTTTTGAACCGTTAGAGCCAATATAATCGAGGGGGAGTTCCTAAATCCATCTAAACATTACCATTGGTGAATGAGAGTGATGCGCAGCCAGCATGCCCAAAACCGGACGCTGGGTTACACTCTATATGAAAGCTACGTTTATTGACATAAATGTTATGATGGAGTATCAGTAATATGTAAATGACAGATGGTTTTTGACATAACACAGAAAAATGAAAGGATAGCAAAATATTTAGTAATCAAATACTTAAGGACCAAAGCATAACGTAAACAACACGGCAAGTGCAGCTGTCAGTGAAGGTCCATCCCCAAACGATGAACCCAGTCTCAACATAAAACAGAACCCCTTAAAAATAAAAACAGATGGCAACTTTTCAGTTGACAAGTGAAGCCAAGAGGCCGCCTTCATCCCGCTGCTGACGATCATTCCCTACAACCTCCCACCCAGGGCCGATTTGCTGTATCCACAAGATCAAACATCCCGTTTAAAGTAAAATAGGGCTAACGTAACAACATGACTATGATAGGTTGAGCAAGGTGTTTAACATGTTATTTCAAAACTTAGGAACCATTACATGTCAAATAATAATACCTGAGTTCAGTGGTAATCCTGCTCAGAGCAAAGAGAGATCCAGATCACTCTGGTAGTAAAGGAATTAGCACTTAAAATTAGCACTCAGTTATGTCCATTTTTGCTCAAAAAGTCATTCGCCTCCATGGTAGTTTTGAAGGTGCGCTCCTCTTCGTTGAAAGCGAAGCATAGGCTGGCCGGGTAGCGCATCTGGAAGCTTTTTCCTCTCTGGATAAGCTGTCCGCACGCCCCGTTAAACTGTTGTCTGGCCTCCCTCACATGTGCCGATAGATCCTGGCGAATGTAGACCTTGTTTCCTTGGTAGTGGAGGTCGCCTTTCTCCTTAGCCGCTGCAAGGATCCGTTG